CAGCAGCACAACAAGCCCTCCGATCCGCCAGCGAAGCCAACGTTTCACCCCAAGCACGGGCCGCACTGTTGCGGCACAGCCTGAGCAACAGCAGCTCATCACAGTTGCAGTCTGCATCGGAAACGGAGGCTGAGAAGCACAGCCCAAAGAAAATCAGCTTGCTTCAATTCAGCGCCGCGGACCTGTTTGGACATGTGCTGTCCAAGCATGACCAGCCCGCGGGTCGCAAAGCCACTTTGCGATCACTCTTCGACAACGACCAAGAGTTTGCCGAGTTCCGCAGGGCATGTGAGCGAGCTAGGATCAGTGAGAGCAACCTTTTAGTATGGCAGCGCGCTGCTCGATCGGTCAATTGGAAGCAAGCACTTGGGCTCATACGCAGTGCTGAGCTAGAAAAGAGCATTCCTGGCTTTCTGCTCTGCAGCTTGGCTCCTCTCGTCTCAACTGCAGAAGAGGTTCAAGACGCCATACACGTCATCTTCCTCAACACTGAATTCGACAAGCGGCAGGAACTTCAAACCATCGCGTTCGCCATGGTCGCTGAGAGGGCTCTGATCGATATCAACTCGACGCGCTTCATCCCCATCATCGTAAAGAAGGCGATGGAATTCTTGAGCTGTCACCCGACGCCTAGTAGCTCAGGAGGTGTGGTGCATAGCAGGAAACATCAGATCGCGCATCGTCTGAACAAATACGGACTCGCAGCGCCCTCGGAGATAATGGACCTCTTTCGAAGGGTAGCGATCGCCCTGACTCGCTCTAATAGCGAGCAGTCGCGCAGTAGTGCATTACACTTGTTGGCACCTTTGTCTACTGACCGTCGTTTCAAGGACATCATGGTCGCGGTATGCGAGGTTTACTTGAATGCAAACCCCGTCGCTGACTCGCGGAAAGCGGGTCTCGAGCGTCTCACAAGACCTCTGCATCTTACTCACGGACCTGTCAGCTTGGAAATGCTGGACATCAACCATCCTGCTGCACGCGAGGCTGGCTGGCTACGCTTGAAACTTGCAGAGGTAGCCATGGATTTTCTGAAAGCGTGGTTCGTCGACAACAGGCAACGGAGACGAGCTGCAAACACAATGGTCGAGGCTGCTGTCAATGATGAAGAGTTCGAAGCTGCAGCGATCTGGATTGAAAAAGCAAGAGGTTTGAGGAGGAGAAATCACTCCACGCAAGGACTCAGCCCTAGCGCAATGGCCTGGGACGTCCGTGCGTACGCTTCCATCAGTCAATATGAAAGTGCTTGGCGTGCTTTCGCCAGACTTCAAGAGCGGTTGCAACTCGACTCAGATCGCCGAGCTTCAAATCAGAGCTTTGAAGAGGCGACAACGACGGCTGCCGCTCCTCCTTCCTCGTCTGATGCTTCAGGCGTCGGAGTACGTCAGCAATCGATGTCAACAAGCTTCTCTGGCACAGTAAGAAACGTTGAGGAGGCGCGCGTTGTACGTGAAGGCTCGGTGTCACTCATCGAGAGTGATGAGACTGGGCTTTCCGACACGGCAGCAGCCATCGAATTCGATGAAGTGGCAGCAGCCATTGCTGGGAGCTCTAACACCAAAGCCCAGGGCACTTCGACCGCCTCTTCGGCTCAGGCCGAGGAGCGGCCAGAGGAAGACGACGCCGACGAAGCGGCTGCGGAACAGCTTTACACTTTCAATCGGGGATCTCGAGGAAATCTGGGCTTTTTACCAGAATCGGGCACATCATCGCCTACCCATGACTTGGCCGCATCGATGTCCGCATACATTGCTGTCATCCATATGGCTGCAAGACAGCCAGGCAATGATCCTCGTGCCTTGTTCCACTGGATAGGCCTCACTGAGGACAAGGGCGAATTCTACGAGGAGCATCCATTTGCGAGGTTCCCTAAACCGCCCGAAAGCATTCTGAAAAGTCTGGACCTATACACTGGCTTGATCATCAATTTGGAATCGGCGCACGGAGCCAGACTGGACGACGTCCGTTTGGTCTGGAAAGTCATGTCGCGAAACGGAGTTCAAGCGGACCTCAACGCGCTCATAGTCATGTGCGCTGCCGAGACTCGGCATGACAACACACACGTGGCCATCGCGCGGCTCAATTCTTGGTGCAAAGATTGGGCGCGACGAGCTGAGCTGGAGCGACGCGAACTAAATCGACGTGGACCGCCGCGTAGAGAGATCAACAAATGGGACCGACTTAGACTCAAGGCGAAGATCTTGGAGGAAGAGCGGCAGGCAAGGGCAGCTCAGGTGGAATCTGGGGTTCCCGTTCCAGACCCAGAGCTCGACGCAACCGTCACTCGATCAGAAGGACCGTTGAACGCACATGCGATCAATGTGATCTTGAGAGGTCTGCTCGGCAAGGACCGTCATGCCCTCGTCTGGACGATAGCTACGGAACAAGCTCCAACGTATGGCGCAGCGCTGAACAAACGCTCTCTTGCGCTACTGCTACGTGCAGCCACCCGATTGGGCGTCGGCCACTTTCAACAATACTTGACGGATGCTAGCATTTCCAGAAGGTACAGGTCGTGGATGCCAGAAGAGCAAGATGTCGAGGTTGCCTTGTGGAATGCCGAA